GCTAATGCCTGTCAACCTTTTGTAATCACTATCTAACTTACTTAGATTGAGGGGTTGTACTGTAAACAATAATCAGTGGTAAACAAGGTAAGATTATAGCTATAATCTATTTTTAAAAGCTAGAACAATGGATCGCCTATTATCGCCATGCAACCTATCCTGTCTTTACTGTTCTCTGCAGTACTGTTGCAGTGCTCCAAGTAGTAAGTTACAATAAAAGAAAACTTTAGGAGAAACTAAACCACTGAGCCATTTGCAGTGCTGCTCTGGGCTTTGCAGAGATTCTGTGCATATGGACCTGAGCCTGTGTACAGCTTGTGCTGTGCTCCAGGGCTGAAACACAAGGAGGACTCCGTTGTTTAGGATGATATTCTTCTCTGTGTTCTTCAGAGCAATACTGCGTTGGTTGGTGGAGTTGGTTTTTTCTTCTAATTTACCAAAGCAAAACACTACAAGGCAAGTTTCATTTCCCCAGCCTGACTTCTGTATTTCTCCAGCTGATACAGTAAGAAATATTTTAGCTGTTCTATCCAGCATCATGCGTTCTTGTTCTGTGAATGCTGTCCAGCTGTAGTGAGACTCCTCAAGTTGTAGGGGTTTCTATTGCCATGAACCATCATTCCTTTACAGAGCTGCACCCCTCTCAAAAACCATATGACTTGCATTTAGTCATCTGGTCCCACTCAGCTGTGCAAGAACTAAGGCTTTGCAAGATGTGCTCCCTGTTGTTAGCTGATAGCGAGGCACATTTCTGACTGGGAAAGGGGATGGAAGATCTGAGAACTGATCAACCTGGCTTTGCTAGTGGAAGGCTTTGTTTACAGCCGTTTGTCTCCTGTTGTGAAGGGCAGATGATAAATGGGGTTAGGCTAGCCCAATGTTTAGATGACATTCATGGGAATTATTCATCTGTGATTGTTATGGTGAGGTCATGTGCTATGTCCCATGCTATGCTGCTGTGCCAAGAGATTTATTTTAATAGAAGCCTTTAAGTAACTGGCATTCTTGCTAATCATGGTGCATCTGCTTCTCTGGGTTCCCTGTTATGAGTAATTTAATGCTATTACTTTAGCTAGAAGGGATCTGTGTCACCATCTGTCCTGGAAAGCTATTGATGGGGCTGTGCAGAACATGGAGTGTCATCAGCAGAAGAGAGGGACTTCTACAGGGATGACTGGATTTCCTGTTGTACTACAATATAAGACGGTTTACCATGACTATGGCTTAGATAACTTGCATATAAAGGCTGTTAGCTACTCTTTGATTTTGCTGGGGACCATTCCTCAAATATTTGTATGGAGGGAAGATACTGTTGTCAGTCAGTAGCAAGTAGTAATAGCACAGGTAATCTGCTAAATGAAGGCTCTCCTTCTCACAGGGGCGTGGGTCTATGAGGCTGAAACCTTCAAGACTGACCCTAAAATGCCTGCATGTCTGCCACTCCCAGCAGACAGATATTCTTTGGAGAGGGCTTGCCAGACACTTTAGAAGCCAAATGCTTTCCTAATCGATGGTTATTTTTTAATTGTTGTTTACAGACCACTTCCTTGTACCAAGCCCTCTCCATGCTGTAGCTGAGTCACAATAGACGTGAAGAGGCTATATGGCGGAAAAGCAAATTGCTCTTCACTTCAATAAGTGGTGTGCTTTCACAGGACCACTTAGGCGCAGAGTATCATCCCGGTCTCTCAAATGTGTGTGGCTGATATCTTTATTGTCTGAGAAACGCATCTTCCTTTTGTCTTTGTGACTGGTTAGTAATTGTACTGTTCACCACCTAACCTGACTTTTTCAGTCCCTCCTGACCTCACTGCGGCTTGTTGCCTTCTCAGCAAGCTAACTGGTAAGCATGAGAGCATGCAGGGCTGGAAAGCAGCTTCATGTGGGTTTATCATGTGGAGTTTTTCTTTGATCGTACTATCCTTCCCAGTGATAAGTTGTGTTGTGTTTTGAGTGTAAATTGGCCTGACTCAAAAGTCCTGGCTCAAAAGATAGTTCGGGATCTAAATTTTGAAGCTCTTGATTTATTTTTTTTGTCCTGCAGAGGTGCAGCTCTTATTTCACATTCATCTAAGAAAATGTTCTTGCTGTCCCTTGTCATATTTTACGTAGATAAGTGACAAGAAGGAGGAATCTGTAGAGCCAAAATTTGCTTAAGGCTTGCAACCGAGTGAAAGAGGCTGTGGGCTGGAGTTGGTCATCTGGAAGGGCTGAAGGAGGAAGCATGCCCTACTCTCAGAACAGCGTTCATGGTCTCCTGCAGGTGCACAGAAGTGAATAAAATAACCAGAAATCAGAAGTGGGACGTGAGCTGACTTCTGCAAAGAGTCTCAGTTTAATTTGGGTTTTTCCCTTCTTCCTTCCCTCGCCAAGTGTTGGGGCCATGCCACCCATCACATCTCCCGCGATCAGACAGTTCTGTCTGAGAAGCTGAGTGTTAGCATTACCAGGTCATGTGGAAAAACTGCTTATGGAAGTATTCATGTAAAGAAAAAATTGGCCGATATTGCAGGTTCACCAGGGTTCTAGCTGCAGGATGAGAACCGGGCAGTTCATCTTCATGCAGAGAGATTTTTGTCAAAACTGGATAAATGGGGGAAAGAAAAGTGGAGAATGTTAGTGTTAGCTGCGTGTATCTAGGCTGTCAGAACTGCTGGGCTTCAAACCAGAAAGGTTTGAGCAGAGGTCCTCCTGAGCCTGGATCAGGCCCCGCAGTTAGGAAAAAATTGGAGTTTGTTTTTCTGAACTGCTTCAGATGTAAACCATTTCTTCTTGTGTTGAAATAAAAAAAAAAGACATTCCTCAACTGAGACCTATGCAGAGACTAAGGAAGTTTCATCTCCAAAGATGAGTAACACCCATGAGGGCCTGGATCAGAACAGTTCTGTTTAGGGGCTGAGGGCATAGGCAAGTCTCTGTGTCCTGTTCACCCCAGCTTGAATCTTCCTCTTGTGGAGAAGTCACAGTTCAGGAGGGCCAGGCTTTGCTTTGAATGCTTGTCTTTAGTCTTCTCAGATGGATCAAGTTGGGGAGAAACCTCCTGCCTTGGTCCATCTTCATCAGGAAATGCAACAGAAGAAGACAGAGGTGCATGGGCCTCCGAAGAGCTGTAGGAGGGAGGCGAGGCATGAGGCCTATCTCAGACATAGCTCTGAAAGGAAGAATGTGAAACTGCATTCTGAGATGAAAGCCTAGAGGGTGTCTTTTTCCATTTTCATATCAACCATGGCTGTTAAAACAAAATAAATCTTCAGTGTTTTGCTTTTCTAATTCAATACAAGCATTTGTAAATCTGGGGACCCAGTTCTGTGTAGGCCCGATCCTAGGAGGTGCTGAGTCCACTCAGTGCGGTGGATTTCTTTTGAAATTGAAAAACTTGTAAATATGTTTTGGTGTCCCAAATGAGGTCTTGCAGATTTGACTGGAATTGCTGGTAACCATGGAGTTTTAAATCCAGCTGCATGTGATAACTTGGCACGAAGAGAACCTGTCTTTCTTCTGCTTACAACTTCCACATGCTTCTGCCATATAATAAAACTCTAGATCTCCATAATTTGTATCAACTGTTCAGGGCAGATGCCGTGCTATTATTCTGCCTGACTTATCCGCTGTGCCTGCTGGGTTACTGCCTTTTCTGAGACCTTTGAATTAACCAGATTTTTGGGTCATCAAGATTATTTAATGTTATTGTCATAAATATTTGTACAGGACTTGGTCAGTGCTTATATAAGAACTGAAAGACAGTAATTTGTTTTAAGAGGATGTGTGTTTTAATGAACTGCCAGCTGAATGTTAGAAATAAACTGTAAAAAAATGCTTTTCTTTTGCAGGACTTGCAGTTCGTCGGGTGGGGAAAAAAATTACTATTTAGATTATCAGTTATTTAGATTTGTCGGTTACAGCTGTTTAAATTTAAAATCGCTTGAGAGCTCTTTAAAGAGAGGGCTATTTACTTCTAAATAGCTGTGTTGGCTTATCATCCTGTCCTCAGAAGATGAGAAGCTGATCTCTTGCATCTTATTAATCATTTTCTGTTAAACCACGTTATCCTTTGAATTGTTTATATGCCGAAAATGAGAAGTTGTTATTGTGTTATATTTCACAGTTGATTCTTGTATAAAATTCCGTTTGTTTTTTTTTCATAATTTCCAAAGTACTGTACCCTCAAATACAAACAATAAACTCAAAATACTAGCAATATGAATCTGTTATTTGGAGATGGTGAAGGTTATACATCATCCAATCTGCTGAAATGTGTTAGAAATGAATAAATATTTGGTTTGCCTCTAGCTCTTTTTAGAAGCACTGAAATCAGTATTTTTTTATTGAAGGAATTTTTGCCAGGTTTCTCAATGAGGGACAATACTACAGATAAGCCAAAATATGGAGGCTGCCAGGGGGTGCTGTGTGCATTCTGGCAAACTTGGATTGTTTCTTCTAAATATCTTAATTAGCAGAGCACAGTCTCCAAGCTGTTCTTGGAGAGCTGCTGCCACGCCAGACCACAAGCAACAAGCCCCCGAATCCTGTGGTTTTAGGTTGTAAAATAGTCTTTAGTACTGTGATGTTGCGCCGAGCCTGTGTATGATCCTTCACACTGATACGCCACCACAAGAATATGCCAGGTCTTACAAACTCCCATCCGCCGACGTGGAAGATTTTTGTGCTGTTGGGTGGTTGACAGACAAGGTTTAGTGTGCTGAGCCATGTGTAACCTATTGCAGGAGCAGGAACTGATGTGTTGTTAGGTCTCCATTCACACTGTCTCTTAGTGTCCAAATGCAGATTTTTACAGGATCCCTAATAAATCAGATCTCTGTTCCTGTATTGGCCGGATGAGTCTCCAAACCTTTCTTTTATGTTCTCTAAATTTGGGAATCTTACTGCCAGGGTGCTGCTCAAAAAAAGTTCTAGAAACCATCCCCAATGTTCATGTGCTTTAAAAACTTGGTATGCACCATGCGCTGGAAGGTTTAACTGTGCTATGTTTTCCCTTTCAGAAAAAGAGCAGAGAGGAGACATGTGGGGAAGGCAGCGGAGTAGAGATCCTGGAGAATAGGCCATACATGGATGGACCAGGAGGCAATGGGCAATATACTCACAAAGTGTACCACATTGGTATGCACATACCCAGCTGGTTTCGGTCAATATTGCCCAAGGCAGCTCTGCGAGTCGAAGAGGAATCATGGAATGCATATCCTTATACAAGGACAAGGTAAAACTTATCAAAATGTTCCGAGCTGTTTGCCCTGCTTTAGAGAGAGGATTTGGTGTCACTCTGCGCGACAGTGGCATCTCTTCCATATCGTGTAATATCCTTTAGAGAAACTGGGGTCAAGTTCTAAAATCCTTACACAGTGCTTAACCTCAGAATTGCAAATGTTGCCTGAGCTGACTGCATATGTACTTGAGAATTTGTGGCTGGTTGCTCTAAAATGTGAGCTGTTTTGTCCATCAAAGCGTGGGAAATCTTGAACATTTTTTATTTAGTTTTGTATCCTGCACTGCATGTTCTACTTGACGTTGCAGATATCTGCTAGCTCAGTGAAGTTATAAATGTACACAGTGATGGGACAGTTGTCATGTTGAATGCTGTCAAATAAGACAGGATTCATTTATTCTAAGGGGGAAAGAAGAATCTTAATAAATAAATAAATCTGGTGCTTCTTTTCTGGGAACTGTCTTACTGTCATTTAGCTAGAAAATAACAAACCTACATAATATAGTTTTCACCCTGAGAAGGGAAGAACAGCAGAGACTCTGTGGAACCCTCTGGGACCTCCTCATTTTGGCTGATTTTGGCTGGAAGGACTTCAGATACCCTGGAATAAATAGCCTGGGGGCCAGTTACCCTGGTTTAGAGCATTTGAACTTTTCCAGGTTTACAAGTCTGATATTGCTGTTGTCTTTCATAATGAAATGGCTTTAATGGATATTTTGATTTTTATCAAAAAATCTAGGAAAGTTTCATAGTTCTGTTCTTGCTGCTTCCTTTCTGTTCTTGCTGCTTCCTACATGTAAACATTAGTCTGGGGAAAGGCGGGGAGTCAGCGTCTGCATACAGGCAGTTGCTCATGACTAAATATAATGGAGTTGTCAGACTTACAAGTGATTGAAGTCCACTTCCAGTCTCTTATCTATTCTCCAAGTGCCTGTGAGTCGATAAGTTGGCCAGGAAGCCTGGCCCTGCACAGAATCAGTCTGTATTTTATTCTGCCACAGATTCCAGGCAAGAGCTCTGCTTTTCTCCAGGTAGAGATGCATTTCCAGGGTGTCCTTCTGTTAGTATCTGTGTCATACCTGCAAGGATATCATAACTTACATAGCTATAGCAGACCCAAAAGTTATCTCCTTGCTGAAAACTGCTCCTTTAAAACCAGTCTGCCCTGATAATCTTCTCCTGGAGGAGATGTCATCAAATTAAGTTGCCGTTTTTTATCAGTGTGTCTGCAAAGTGAGAGAACTTGGTGGTCCCCTTGGGCTTTCTGCTTGCTTGTTCCCAGCTGGGAAGTTGTTTCTTGGTCAGTGTGGGTGCCAAATCTCCAGTAATTGCATGGGGTGCATTGGTACCTTCTCTCCTGTAATCCATGTAACACTTTGTGGGGAGCACACCCCTTTGCTGTGAGCTTGGGATTTTACTAAACCAGAGCTATTCCAGTGAAGCCACACATCCAAGGCAAGCTCCTGCCTTAAGAAGTTATTAGAGAAAATCTCTTTAATCTGTTCAGTTGGTATTTTAAGCATATCTGAAGTCAAACATGAGTGAAGGCTGGCTTGGATTTCAGGCTGATTTTGTACACCTTAAGAAAACATTTTCTCTGCTTGGCAAGCCGAGCAGGATTTACTCTAAGCGTCATTGTTCTCGTTTTCAGGTATACGTGTCCTTTTGTGGAAAAGTTCTCTATTGATATTGAGACATACTACAAAACTGATCCAGGAGAGCATGTCAACGTGTTCAACCTTTCTCCTGCAGAAAAAAGACAAACTATTCTAGGTGAACAGCCTTTTTCTTTTATTTTTTCCTTTATTCTGCTTTGTTGTTGTTGTTGCGTAAAGGATTTTGCTTGGTATGTCCCATCTGCCTGCCCATCCTCCCCCTAAACACACATCTGCACCCCTGTCAGTGTCAGGCTGTGGGGTAGGGTTGCATCAAGTAGAGTGGGGACACCTGAGTTCTCTTTAGGCTTGATGTAAATCACATGGAAATAATTTGAATCCCCCGTCTGTAAAATGAAGCTGATGCTTTCCTGTCTTATTTGTGCAGTTCCTGAGGGGAGTAAGACATCTAATGATTTTGGGGGTAATAAGTAGAAATAAACTTAGAAGAGGAAAATATTGCTGTATAATTGTGTAGCTCCTTCACATATATGAAAATCATTCCCATCTACATTTCTGAAATACAAAGGTGTGTTTCATTATTGCTTTCCCTCCTCTTAGTCTTGCTTCTCAGCTGTCTTTGGGAGATTGGGTTAATGAACCTTATATATGTAAGGATTTAATGAGAAAAGGCAAAAGGGAACATCTTGTAAAAAGCCAGAGGATGGCAAGTGTCATAGCGATTCCTCTGCCTTGCTGTCTGTCGTGGTCTGTGCCCATGGCATTTGCCAGAGACCCAACTGTGTGGCAGGGAGTTACAGCCACACAGGACTGAAGCATCCCTTGCTTGGAAGCTGCTGAGTCTGGAGAATTGTTAGGCTCAGGCTGACTTCTGGCAGTCCCATGCTGCGCTGGTGGTGGCATGAGCTCTGGGGAAGAAGGAACATCTAAGTGGGACATCTACTAAGAAGGACATCTAGTGGCTGCTCTGGCTCCTTGAGCACTGTTGGTGTGCGGGACGCCATGCAATTTTACTTGAGCATTACCTGACTCGAGAGTTACTTGATTTAAACTTCATTTTGAACTTCAGTTTGGCTGTCCTTATTCCTAAGCCTCATCTGATCAGGCTTTCAGTACTGAACAAATAGACTTGAGTCATGCTGCCTTGCTAGGAAGTGTCAGAAGAGCTGTTATTTCTTGGGAAGCGCGATCCTGCCCTTCAATCCAAACTTCAGATGCTGCTGCTGAGGCCTGGGGTGGGAGTTGTAGATCTTTAAAATATGCTCATTCACTCCCCTCCCATTGCAGTGTCCACTTCTCCATTGTTGAAGTGTTAATTAGGACTAATGGGACTTATGTTAAACTTTCTGCCTTCTGTAGAACTGGTGTAACAGCAGCATGTGAGAAGTTACCATAACCTCACTTGATGGGCTCCAAAGATAAGGCGTTCAGTGGGGAGCATCTTTTCCATAGCAGTGCTAAGAAAGGGCAGGTGTATTTAACCATCTTAGATGAGACAGAGCTGTAGCACTGTGAGTGATATTAGAAAAGCTGGAAGGTGGAATGTGCAAATGGTTTTTTTTTTTGGAGCTGGAAAGATGGAGTGAGCAGATCTGCCAGAGCGCTGTGGATCTGCAGTCACTGTGGGCAAAAACATCTATTTGGAGCAAAGCCTTTGTTTGCTGGAACTGTGCGTACTAGTTCCTCTGGCAGAGCTGATCACTGCCCAGCAGCAATGTATAAACAATTTAAATATCAGTTGCTTAAGTGTAAGTAGAAAGAATCTAAACTGCTGTAATGCTTCTGGTACTTACTAAACCAGAAATAAGTCCTGAAAAATATTTATTTTCTTCCTTTGTTCAGGAAAAGGAAATGCCTTAACTGTTTCTATTCTCTTTCTATAGATCCTATTGATATTGTTAAAGATCCTATCCCTCCACATGAATACAAAGCTGAGGAGGATCCAAAGCTGTATAAATCAGTGAAGACTAAAAGAGGCCCCCTCTCGGAAGACTGGATTCAAGAGTACAAGAACAACCCTGGCAAATACCCCATCATGTGTGCATATAAACTGTGTAAAGTTGAGTTCAGATACTGGGGGATGCAGTCGAAAATCGAGCGGTTTATCCATGATGTTGGTGAGCATTTACAGTCTTGCAAAGTTCACTATCAACTCTTTTAATGTTGCTTTTGAATTGAAATGCAAAGGTGAGGGATGTGCAATGTATCATATCCCAAGACATATCTGTGAAGAGATTCTCAGATCTGATTACTCTTTTTGCAGAGCTGTGGGTCAGTTCAGAAAAAGTCATGTTTTTCTATCACTCGTAATCATGGTATGTATGAATCCAAACCACATGTAGTCACTGAAAGGGTTTCAAGTCCTGTGTAGGCAAGATTTTGCATTCTTTTTTTTTTTTTTTAGATAAGGTTCTGTTTAACTTTTACAGATAATTTTCAAAATCTGGCAGTTTTCTTTATCATGAATAAAATCCTCAAGGGCTGCTTGAAGAAATAAGCTTTACTTGCGAGTTCTAAGTGGTTCCAGAAAACCACTCCCTGGAGCATCCCTAGTTTCTACCTGCCTTGTGGCAGGGCTGGTGGGTCTCTGTGTGGTAGTACACCTTTCTCCTCCAGGCTGTGGTGTTCAGTGCTCCACACTTCACTGTGCTATGACCCACCATGGGTCACTGACAGCTCTTATTTGGGAGTAAATGTGCTCCTTTGATTGATGCATCATTCTTAGGTCAATGCTTTTCAGGAGGTATTGTTTGTGTCCCAGAAGTAACTAGGTGGAGGCAGTCCAGGTGGTAGCAGTGCTGGCAGTAATTTGTTCTTTGCAGAAAATCTATAACACAACTGATATAGTTTCTGAGCCTTGCCACAAGAGACAGGATCTACAGCCAGGTGGAAAACTTAAAAAATGTTTTAAAGAAGCTTTCCCATCTCAAAAAAAGTGCAGAGCTGTGGCTGTCCTCTGGCAAAGAAAAGGCCAAAGAAAGGCTGTGTAAAGGATGCTGCCTGCTTTCTGTATGCAGTAAATCCTCCTACATGACCTCTACAGCTGTCCTTTCTATATGCAAAGCTTCTTTGAAGTGCCTGATGCTAGCATAAGTAAGTAATTTTTATAACTCTTTTCAGTCATCCAGTGCTCCTGAGAGCTAATGTGAAAAAGACTGATAGAGCAGTGGAGAATAGCGTGCACCGCTCTCTGAATAGTCACAGGTTGCTTTCTTAAAGCTCCTTTGGTTTTACTTTACCCCAGATGGAAGTTTTTACCTGTTATAGACTGTATTACAAGTGGCTCTCTGCAATGAACTCCCTTGGCATTTTGGTGACATGGGTTAATTTAGTGTATACTGCAAAACATGGGGGCAGAATAACAACTCCATTGTATCTGTTAAATGAAAAAGAAGCATGTGACTCTTCCAGTTCTTCAGAGGTGTTTGGCATAGATTAAACTGTGGTCCCTTAGAAATATTTCTTTTGTATTTAATGAAAGATTGCCTGCTATTTTCCTCTTGATTGAGGCTTTGCAGAGAGCCGAGCCAGCTCATTGTCTGCCTTTCAAAAGCCTTTCCACTCTGTTATAATGATGGCAAATACTGTTTTTCACAGTGGTTAAGATGCATAAAATCAGAAAAGTCTTTAAGGCAAGACAAAGTTGAGTGAGTGCAAAGCGAAAGCAGAAGCTTTGGGTATCTACAGGAGGTGTATAGCCTTCCTGTGCAATGGGATAGCAATGGGGAAGCCGTTAGCGAGTCGAAAAGTGCCATAGCATGTGCACCAAAGACAACAAGGTATGAGGATGTTGAAGTTGGAAAGGTGTGGGCTACAACATGATTGACCAGGCTTATATACTGATCCCGGTTTTGGGGTTTCAACCGGTGACCAAAAGCAGACGGAAGACCTTTGTGCATTGTGCAGCTGATGATGGACCAAGCTCTCAGGTGCCAGAGATGTTCTTGTGGGTCAGTGCCTCCTTGGCATTTTTCTCCTGGTTCCTCTGTTCGCAGCTCCTGCAAATGTGTTTCTTGGGGAATTAGCACGCTCTGTGCAGGGTCAACAAGCCAGCAAGAAAAGGGGGGCAGAAACGAAGAGCAGGATCCAAACTCTGCCCAAGGAGGGGAGCAGTACTTAGTGGTGCAAACTAAAATTAGAGAATGGGTTGAAAGAAAAACACATCTGAGTTAAGTGATGGATGGATTGTGATACGTAGAAAGGCTACTGAGCGCGGAGGGAGTAACTCTGGGGGATGGTGTTGAAACGTTCTCAGTCTTACTGAGTATAACAGCCATTTTTTCTGATGACTAATTGGCCAGTTACTCAGTGCTTTGACAGCCTGAGACACAGACTAGAATTGTGGGCTATTAGTCTGCTTGGCTGTAATATTTGTATGCTTTTTTACTCCTTTCCCATAGAATTTGAGTTTAATTGGACTGGCACTGCATAATGTTCTGCTCCCACTTGCTTCCTAATGGTGCACGTGGGCTATGATTCTTTTGTTGTTAAACAAGCGTGTTGACTGTGTATGTGTTATTGATTATATACTGCGGCAAAGTGTGTTCCCATCCCAGTAACTGGAGCTTTGTCTAAGCCGCTGTGTCTTAGGCTAAATATACCCAAATTGTTGCACAGTGATGAAGTGGAAGTGGTTTTAGAAAGCTCTTTTGCAGAAGTTTTGCTTCGCTAAAGCACTCAAATGAGGAAGTTCATCCAGAAGGTCACTTGCCTGTTGGGGCCTGCAGGTAGAGTTTTGGCTTTTCAAGGGTAGGCAGGTTGCAGTTGGCATCATGCAGATGTGACCACAGGCTTTTCTTTGTGAGTGGTCTGAGCAACGGAGAGTAGGGAAGCAAGCAGATGTAACTGCAGGTTGCCTTTGATCAGATACATTTAGACAACCAGAACTGTACTGAGAAGATTATGGGATCTGTTGTGACTATCAAGGAAATAGTGTTGAACAGGGAAAATCACGCATCCTTTATCTGCTGCCAGGAAATTGTGAGAGTGCATTATAAAATGCTTTGGGATGTTGCCACTGGGTGCATAGTTGATGGGTATCTGAATTGTTGCTTTATATGGATAGTTGAGGGGGTTTGAACAGGATTCAATGATGTCTTTTTTTATTTGTTTTTGGTTTTTGCATTGTGTTTTTGTTGCATTTACTATTCTTACTTTATGTTGAAAACAAACCCAGAAGTATAGACAAAAACTTTAAATTCAGCTAAAGAGTCCTGTCTGTCCTGGCTTGTCTCATGGTCATGTACACTTCCTTTTGTAAGATTAAGTTCAACACCACAATCCACAGGCAAATCATTCACAAGAGTCAGCACCTCATGGATTTAACCAGTCTCTGAGTTGTTGAGGTGGTGAGTTGAAAGGCAAGTGATTTAAATGTTTGCACCCTGCTACGCTCTTCACAGATGATCTCTCTGCACAACACAGTAGGAAGTGTAATTAAATCAATGCAACAGTGACGGGTACTTCTGAACTCAATGTGCACGTGTACATTTGTGCATGCGTGGTTTCCTTGGGTTTTTATTTTTTAAACCAAAGCATAGTGTGCTCTAGAGAAATAATAGTCTTTTTAAACTACTGTTATTAGAGAAATCAGCCTGTACCTGCATCTTTATAAAAAACCTGTTCCCATTATTTCTGATTGTGTTCAGTGTGTGATTTGCCTGCCAAGACTGTGGGGTTATCCTCCAGTTCTGGGAAAGAAGGCTCAGATGAGCGTGGTGCATGCTGGGTGGAGGGGGAAAACCTACTCTAAAATCCTCCCTGATCCTACGGTGCCACTTGGTTCTCTGTTTACACCAGAGACACCTCTTTGTGAGATCACCTCCTACCTTGCAGTTCTTCTGTACTGCTGGGTTGGTTTGCTCTGTGGATGAGAAGGGAGCACACACCGCACCGCAGGAGGGCATTGCATTGCCCGGAGCCTCACCTCCGCTGGCCTTGTTGTGTTCTGCCTGACCTGGAACAAGGTGACTGGTGGGATGCCATACCCAACCTGTCCTCCCCAATCAGCCCCCATTGCCTGGGGCAGCATGTCTCAGGCTTGCAAGGCAAGCTGCCAGACGGGCTGCAGCCCGCCATGAGGCATGGCTTGAACGTACAGTGTGTGGGACTGAGTGTGGGACAGGGACTTCTCGGGCTGAGCAGGAGATGTTTGTACCTCCCCTCCTGCCAGAGAGAAAAATGAAAGTGAACTGGACCACAGATGCCTTCAGTACTGTCCTGATGGGTATCTCTGATCTGTTAAAAAGAGAATTTTTCCCAATTACACTCTGTTTCCTGGGTCTGATCTGTCCCCTCCTTTTCACTTTTCAAATAAAAGCTTGTTTTTCTCTAACATTTTGATTAAAAAATGCTTTAAGACTTGATTTTTTCCATTGCACAGGGAGGGAAGCAGTCTCTGGACAGGTGAGGTCAGTCATTTGTAGCTGGATCTTGTGTCCGTGGAGCTGTGGGGGGGGTACTTGGTGTGTCCTCTGGGTCTCTGCTGCCTATTGGAAGGTTTCAGCACTGCAGGCTGAAGATCAATTCAGTGATAAACTCACTGCTGTGCACTGAGGGACTGCTCAACTTTTCCAGCCCTAGCAGTGAAGATTTTTTTTTGCAAGCCATGACTTATTTTTCAATTTCTTTTGTACCTGGACAGCCTCATTCTCTTCCAGCTTTTCTCCCTGTGTTTAAGAAAGAGAAATGCAGCATCACTGACACATCGCAGGTGAAGGCCAGAGGCTAGGAAAATAATCTCAGTCTTTTTGACTTCATAATGAATCTGGGGCGATAGAGGCACAACAGCCATAAAGCCCTGGAATGCCATTCTATTTTCAGAAGAACAAGGCTTTAAGGAAGGGGCGATTTGGGATGTTTAATCAAAGCGATGTGAGCAGTACAGATGGGGAGTTCTGTGGATTGGGAGGAAGCAATACAGGCAATGTCTGTGATCTAAGAGATGAAGTGAAAGAAGGCAGAGGGGAACTTCAGGAGACTTTTTTTTTTTTTTTTTTACCCCCAAGTGGTTTTCATGTTCCCTATGATGTTCGTCCATTAGAACAAAGATACGTGGTCAGTGGCATCTGTGCCTTTACACAGAGAATTTCTGATGTTTTGGTGCATTGACACATCAAAGCTGGATCCCGGAGCATGAGGGGATGCTGCTGAGCCCTGGAATGGAGGAAGCCTTGGGATGAGAGTGAGGGGGCTGTTTGCTTCTGTGTCCAATCACAGTTTGTTTTCAAGGTGTTTCAAGCAAGGTGGAAGTGGACATTGTGGATGTAGAAGTCCTAAGGGTGGTTGTGCTATCGGAGACTGAATTACAGTAAGGGAAACGTTTTCTTGGCTTTCAGTGTGGGTGTGATGGGAGTTTAATCTTCGTCTTCAAGCTCTGCTGGTTGTCAATCATAGCGGGAGGTGAAGAGGCTAAAACATTCTCCTGTAGTTCTGCAAAAAGTAATCTGGTGGGGGAAATAACTCTGAATCTCAACTAAGGTTGAACAGAATTAAGTTGCTGAGGCCCCTTGTTCTGCCCCCAGAAGGTCGCAGTCTGCTGGCTCAAACCTGCCTCTCCTACGTGGAGCTCCCTTCTGAATGTCAGGCAGAGAAATGCATAAAATATTGATAGATTTAATCTTACTGTGCAAATGAAGTTCAGGTTGAGCTGGTCCCTCACATTAGCTGCTGATCCCAATGGCTGTTTCCTCCTGATAGGTTGACTTGTGATGGCTGGTGGCATTAAGAAGTAACTGAAGAGCAGAGCAGACAATGAAGTGCCCAGACCTGGAAGGAAATAAACATATAAAAAGAAGCTTTTTTTACATTTTAAAAAAAAAAAAGTGATTGCTGAAAACAAAAGGGGTGTTTAGGCTGAACATCACAGAAACCGTGACAGTAGTGGGATCTAAGATTTTCTGTACAACAGTGAAGCAAATGTTGCTGGAAACACCTTAGAAACCTTGCACACAGTGGGACCATCCAGCTTTGGCTGCACTCCTGGAAATGGAGGGTGGCTTACGAGGGCCGTCTTTCCCCTTGGTGGTGCTTAGGGAGCTCGATCTGCAGCTCCCAAAACCTAAATGATTTTAATGCAGCCTTTTGATTGCTCCATATCTTGTAATAGCAGTGGCGGTGGTGTGGCCTGTGGTTTTTGGCCAGGGTCTTCATTAGAGTGAGAGGATGGCTACCCTGCCTGCCAGCTTTTTGGCACAGTGTGTTTCTGCTTCAGGCTTAGCACCGGAGGATTGTGGATGCATAATCCCACTGCTGCTTTGGCATGCCCTTCAACCCATCTCTGCCTCAGTTTCCATGTAATTCAAGAGAGGACAGTATTAATTGATGGGGTGGTTTGGTTTTTTTGTTTGTTTGTTTTTTTCAGAAGAGCTCCTGAAGATTAGTTTGTCAGTATTTATAGAAACTTTTAAAAGCACCATTACTCCTGTGGGCTCCCATCAGTAATAAATAGCAGTTTGGAGCTTTGACCTGTCGTGAGCTCCTAAGCAATAATATTGGTTGAAAATCCTGAGTGACTATAATGTTTTAAAAGTCTTGGTGGTATCATGATGTTAGCCAACAAATTTAAGTCTTGGAGGAAAGTTTCTGTTGCCTGGTCAGGAGCACTGTGTGTGGATATTGAGACAGTTCTTCCTTTCAGAGACGTGATATGTTGAAATACTTTAAATTGGCTTTACCACTTCATTTTTCTCATGCAGCAGAAGACAGATCGTATCTGCAAAATACAGCATCTTTATTCCCTCCCTTACTTTGCTTTCCATACCATTATCTCAGAAGCTCGTATTTGTGAGGCTGTTTCGCTGATATATAGAAACCAGGTTTCCAAGGAAAGGAGAGGTTTCAGTCTTAATACTGCTGATGTGGGATGTGCTTCCGTCATGTAACAGTTGTGGTGGGCTATGTAGTGTTCGTCAAGGAACCACTTGAAACTCTTCTGGATAAAAAAAATCAGTGGTTTCTGTTGCTGATGTTGGCTTTTTTCTTTTTTTCTTTTTTTTTTCTTCTGGGAATGTACTTTACTTTGAAGGCCAGATTAAAATGTTACAACTTCCCAGAACTTCATAGGCATTTGCAGTTGTGGTCCGTGCCTGGTTCCTCCTTGGCGGAGCAGGCAGTCACAGAACAAAGTCCTCCATCCAGAATCAGGAAATCCTTTCCCAAGTTAAAAGTAGTGGCAGAACTTTTCACTGTATGGTTGGTTAGCAAGAACTGAGGAGACCAAGTACACGAAGTGACCAATTTGCCATCCTGATACTTGTTGTATGGAAGTCCTTGACTACAGCTTATAGCATTGTGGTTTTGATGCCACTGTAATAACCCCT